CCTAAAATGGTAAAATTCTTATTACTGGGACTATCTCAAACATTATAATGCACGTAATCTATGTTTATCATCATTGTCTAGAAAAATGAGGGGCAGTATATGGAGTGTGCTTCAAGTGCCTCAGAAAAAGTATTGATCAGTCTTAAAACTAATTGCTATATTTATTATTTCAATAAATTTGAGAAGTATCTTAAAACCTTGTAATAAGACATTAAGAGGGAAGTTATGGCAGATAAGAATACCTTTGGGTTACTTTCAAACTATACAAGTCCCATATAACCCACTGTAACCTTTCAAAATCCAAGGGGCAATTCCTGTAAAGAATCTTTCCTCCAAGACTGAGTTATTAGTGATAGATCACATTTCCCCCCTTTTTTTTTTTAGATCACATTTCCTATATGTTTAGAAAGCTGACAAACATTGGTAAACTGAGCAATAAGATAAAAGATGAATCTCTTGAACTATATTCACTTGTTGAAGACCTCTTTACCATCTGCAGATGCCAGCCAGATTGGTTCACATAGGCTTGAACAAGTATTCACACTATTTCAAAGTAGTCTTTTCAAAGGCAAGAAATTCACTGTGGTTTCACATATGTACAGAGAACAACTGTGAGTCAACAATATTAGTACAGTGTTAACGCAAAGACTGCAGGGACCATAACTCGCTGGTTATAGGTACTCAAAAAAACCAACACTCCAGCACTATTACCTAGTTTGATGAACCACCTATCCAAGAGGTCCAAACTTAAGCCATGTTATCATTCTGCATCCTTCAAGTGGAGGGAGAAATCAAGAGTTTGTTTTCAAATAGAAAAAATACGCAAAACTGGGCAATTAATTCCACTGAATCTCTTATTCACAGCCTTTCAAGACAGAAGTGTTTTTCTACCATAGTGTCTTCCTGGGTTCATCAAATACTTAGTAAAAGATCTCCTGGGTACTTAACACCGTGTATTTTTTTTTCCTATAAAGCCATTCAAGAACTAAAGAAATTTATTATTCTCCGTTACAACTCAGATTATTTCTGTGGCAACCATGGTAACTAGTAGCATCTATAACTAAAGGGCTAACTGCTCTGACCTAGCCATGTTTACCTTATGTGTTTCTGTGCTCAAGTTAGGCTTTATTTTTCTTCAAAACAAAATAGCTCAGTAATGAATACAACTGTGCGTCTGCTTTTAAAAGCCACAAACTCACACAATTCTTAAATCCATAATCCATAGGAATATGAAATAACTGCAGTTACATACACAGGCTTAAGTAAAATATCAGGTTTAAAATTTGAAGTACAAAGACCATTAAAAACAGTCTATTTGCCAAATCCACTGAGAAACTAGAAGCAATTTAACAGCTGTCTAAATAACCACAAAATATTAAAAACACTTCTGGCTCAATATAAATGACATCTGAAGTGAAATGCTGCCTCCTCCAACAGACATCTCATTTGTTTGCCTAGAACCGTTTATACTTCATTTAAGCCAGCTGGTGTCTCCGTTTGCAGGCATGCATCAATGTCTACTGAACAATCTAAGTTCCTGTAAACCCTTCCCCATTCACAAGCTGCAATTTCCATTTTTAATGGCAAGTTTCCAGCAAATACAATAAGTTCTTACAAAGGAATTTAACTCTTTATCCAACTCAATTCCTAAAGCAGACCAGAGCAGTGGTAACAAGACCTAAACAATGTGTATAAGTGCCTAGCAAATTCCCAAGTAGTTGACATCCACAGAAGGATCTCCTTACCAAACCACTTATTCAGTACAATTATGAAAAACAATATGTTTGATTTGATCGACAGTCTCTTGTAATGTTAGATGGTTCTTGGGAATGTTATAACAATCTTTGGCTAAGAGATAATATTGTGAGATGTTTCAAAAGCCAACAGAGAAGTATACAGAATGCACAGAATCTTTTCAACTAACTTACCAGGGTGAGTACTGATGCAGCTACTAGAGGTATTCATTTTTCCCAGTCTACCCCCACCCCATCCTCATTCACTTTTCCCTTTTCACATCCCAGGCATTATAAACCTTACTGCTGACATCCTAGAAAGGCAGGAGTGGACACACTTTTTCTGTAAAGGATCAGACAGTAAATACTTGAGCTTTAGGGAAATACAGTCTCTATAACAAATACTAGCTCTGCAGTTGTAGCGGGCAATGAGCCATACTTTAAGGGCGGTGGGGAGAGAATGACCCTGGCTGGTTCCAATAAAACTTTTTTTTTTTTTTTTTTACCAGCCCTTTCCTTTTCCCTGGCATTAAGTTGCAACAGTTTGAAAAATACAGATTTAAATAATTTAAATAACAGTCATCAAGTCAAACTTTCGAATCATCTTCCTGGGATGACTAAAATAAACTAGGGTTGAAATCCCAAGTTCCTCAAACTAGTAAAGCCAGAACATCATTTCAACTACACGTCAAAACACACTATGTAAGTTTCCAGAAAAGAACAATGATAAAACAATAAATTATATGCATGTTCTGAAAAAAAAATAATTTCAGTACTCTAGCTCTAAATTTTTAAATTACACTTGAACTGACAGAAATGAAAGGAAAACAAAGTTTCTGCAGAGTCCTAGTCAATCTCAACTTGGTAAATCACTTTCCATTTCCAACCCTAGCTATTTATTTCAGCCACAGATATACAGACATTTACTCTTGCAAAGTTTGAGAATCACCACTGTTAAAACAAAAATCTAAAAATTAAGTGCTTGGAAAAATTATTTCCAAGACTGGGGACATGAAAACTGAAAAGGTCTTTGATACCTGCACAACACTGCAGCTCCCATTATGACATCATTACAAAAACCACACAGGAGCCTACCCAAGCTGGCCATCTAAAAACAAAGCCAAATTAAACTTCATGTAGAATATCATTCAAAATTACAGTAAAAAAAAAAAAGTTAATTTTAGCAAATTCAAAACTTTACAATTTCAACCGCTTTCCTCAAGTCAACTTTTTCTGTTAATACTCAAGTCGGTTGAAAAAATTAAATCTTTTAGCAGGCTCAAAATGATCAATTAGGCTGTGATTTTTAAGAGTTCAGGATATGATCAAACTTCCAGAATAGATGTTAAAAACACCCCGAAGATGACAGCAATATTTTGGAAAACATGAATTTGAAACATCAGGCTTATTTAAACAATTTCAATTACTCCAGTCATTTACTAAATTATCATCCACTCAATTGAAATTTGAGACAATGTGGAGCCAACTGCATTAACCAATGCTACAAATGCATCAATGAAATGAGAAATTTGTAAAAGATCGCAATCCTGAATAAATTCCCTTTAAAGTGAAGACAAATATAGCTCCTGGCTGGTTAATCATATATGCTCAAGACTACTGCAGCATTGAGATATACTAAAGTATATCCCAAACCTAACACTAAAGATAAACTCCCAAACCTAACACTGTATTAATTCACCGGCTCCCCGGAAATTCATAGCTAGTTAGCCAGGGCTATTTTTAAGTGGCCTTATTTGTTAAGTACAGATTCCTAGGTATCATTTCAATTTTCAATATCATTTGACTAAAAAGACAAAAATCTAAAAATAATTTAATCACCAGCTCATAACACTGATTGTCTTTTAATGCAAAGCCTAACAGTAAATCAACCAATGCCTTTACATACAAGGCAGTTTAGGTAGAGTTACTAAATAAAACTGAGAATTCTTCTGAAAACTCTTTACAACTCTAAAATAGTGTATCCTTAAGTTAGTCAAATATTTAATAGCAGAAATGGTAGCCTAGGCATTGAGGGTGTCCCTAAAAATCTGGGGAAGGATATTTAAAAACCTGACTTGAACAAAACAATTCCAAATGGAAGTTGCCAAATATAGAGGTATATACTGCCCACGGGTTTTTTAAAAGCTGATAATAAAACACTTAAACTATGAAAAGGCTTTGTCTGCAAATGATATCACTAAAGGCTCAAATATGAAACCTTTGCATACTATACTCACAAAGAGATTTACACTATCAGTCCACAAAAGCCTATCCTAGGACTGTGCCAGGGGCACACAAGGATTTTCAAAGTACAGAAAAAACTGGGCACACACACATGCAGTACAAAGCAGCCAAAAGGCATTTCCCCATAGACACTTTCAGGAAATGTTTCAAGATGAAAAGCAAAGACAGTCTTAAGTGCCTTAGAGTCTTGGGTTGATTTCTTTATTACTCTCAAGGCCTAGGCTGTTCTCCACCCCATCCCCCACCCCCACCGTACCCTGTTGAGAAATAAAGCACCTCCAACCAGAAGCAACTACTCAGGCCCAATTTTCAGTACAATTCGCTTTTCATTAAAAGTTCAAGTTTCTCAGGGTCTAGACGCATAGTACGATCATATTACAGTACTCGGGAAGAGCATTTTCTTTGTTGTTGACCCTGCTAGGGAAACAGGTCTTGACTCAGCCAAAGTGGCGTTCTCGTGGGTGATTAATGACAGGCCTAGATCTCGCCCCAGTGACATCCATCCCCACCCCCCACCCCCTCTGTACTAAAATCAGCCATGTCTGAACTGGAGGAGGGGCTGCTGCCTCGCCTCAAACCACCCAGTCCCACAGTTAAGGGCTGCAACCAATCGATTCGAGGAGACAGATATCGAGATTCGGGCGAAACGTTATACTCTTCTCTCGCCTAAATTTATGAATAATATCACCCTCTCTGATCATTTCCGCTGGGGCTCTCCAGACTACGGAAACACTCAATTCCAGTCATTCAGCCCAAAGAAAAGGATCTTCCTCTTCCCCACAATACCCGGCAAGGCACAGCCCCTGCCCTCCCCACCTCCCGACTCCCCCACCCCTTTGACATCAGGCCACTTCTATTGTGTCGCCGGGGCCAGAGGACCCAACTGGAAGAAAAGCGGCCGCTCCACTGCTACTTCTGCGAAGGAGGACGACCAGCCCGGCAACCCCATCCCTGGGGCCGGGTTCCGCGTCCCGGGACCCCCGTTCTCCAGCCCACCCCGGCGGCCGCGGGGCCGAGTCCCACCTGTGGTGAGGCGGGAGGAGACGTCGCCAAAGGGGGACGGCTCCATTCGGAGATACTTCTGCGGCGAGGCGGCGGCGGCCGAGAAGGAGGCGGCGGTGGCGGCGGCCGCCGCCGACGGAGAGGCAGCAGCCGAGGTGGGCGCCGACAATGGCGCACATCGCCTCCGCTTCGGGGACGCTGGGCTCAGCAGCGGGTCGAAATCCAGAGTCCTTTTCAGAGTGGCGCCGCACGCCATGGCCGGGGCAGCCGAGGCCGGACTCGGGTGGGGTCGGGGAGAGGTGACGGGAGGGGAGGGTGAGGGAAGTGGGGGGGGGGGAGCGGGGACCCGAGGAGAGCCTAACCGACGGGCTCAAGAGCAGGAAGGCGGGGTGGTGCAGCGCCGGCGAGGAGACGAGAGGAGCCGCCGCCGCCGCCGCCGCCGCCGCCTCCGCTGCCTCCGCGGCAGGGGCAGTGGCCGGGCCGGCCCAGGCGAGAGCGGGAGGGGCGGTGGCGGCCGCTCACGACAGCCGCGTCAGGGGGGCTCTTCCGCCTCCTCAGGCACAGCTCCCCCGGGAGAGGCTCCGGCCGCCCCCGCCGTCCGTTCGAGCTTTGCGCCGCGCCTGAGGCGCTCCTGCGCTGAGACCGGCTCCCTTCGGAAGTCGAAACCAGCCCCGTCAGGTATGAGGCTGGAACGCGGCCACGAATAAGCCCGAGTAAGGTCAGGAGCTTGAGAGCGGCGGTCGATGTGGAGGGATTGCGAGGTGGAGGCAGCGGCAGGAGCTCAACCGAACACGTCCAGCCGCTTCCCCCTCCTCTGTACGACTATTCCACCCGCCGCCGGCCCCAATATGGCGTCAATAACAACGCCGCCGATTCAAATTCTGCGGCCTCAGGGCGCGTGCGCATAGGGGTGGCTACCCCGCGGGCGCATTCTGGGAGTTGTAGTTTTTCACTGTGGAAGGGAATCGGCGTGAAAAGCGATTAGGGAGGAGTCACGAAAACTACGATTCCCGTCATTCAAGGCGCGGCATTCTGAGTTCCGGGTTGGAATTTAAATCCCCTACACGGCTTGAGTGTAAAAGGAGCTAAGCAAAAGGGGAAAAAAAGAAAAAGCTGGGAGAGACTGGAAGAGAGGAAAGCCAACTGATGCAGAAAATAGGCTTAAAAGACCTTTAAAATTCAGGACATAGTTGCCCTGATACCATTCCCACAGTGATTTAACAAATGGGAAATAGAAAACTTAGCCAACCCAACAGTTCAAGACCGATTAATTTCGGTAATAAGAGTGCCAAAAACAAAACCTGTCCTAATGAGAGGCTAGGAAATACTGAGATTATGGAACATACTTAGGACTGAAAGGGAGAGCAACATTATTAGTATCAGATTACATGATCCTTGAGTGAACTGGATGCTTTGCCCTTCCCAGGTAGCTGCTTGCATCCATTTATTAAATTCTGCAAAACCAGGTTTACCCTGTAAACGAATAAATTTGAAAGAGTACAAAGCCAAATTATTTTGCTTTGGATTAAAAGCGAGTGATACCAGAAATTGTATTATCTGTTGAATATTGTAGTATAGTATATCTTTTGAACTCTTAAAAATTAAAAAATCATAATGAAATGTCTAAAGGAGTAGATAATGAACCCATTTTATAAGCAAAGAGGAAATTTTGTACTGCTACTCAGGTACCTAAAATAACAATCAAATACGTTAGTAATAATGTAAAAAATTGTCACCAGTCTTTTGCCTATGGAAGCTATCCCCAGTCCAATACAAAAACTAGTTATTGCCATATTCTCAAATGATCATGTGAATGCCATTTTCTCAAATGATCTTGGATATCACTATACTAGTTTCAGTATAGTACTTATGTATTCCCATTGTCAATTTAGTAACTGAAAGACATTTTAACCATTTTGCCGATAATTCCTCATTTGTGACTAGTTTAATATATTCCTGTTTTATTGAATTGTTCAACACCTTAAACATCAGCAGTTCTGATCACATTGTGTCAATGAATAAACTGCACTAATTTTATTTTAAAATATGTTGTTTGGGAAATATTTTTTTGAAAATCATCAGCATTTAATGAAACAATGGCTTAACTCTGACACCCAATAGGTAAATTTTTGCTAAATTCTAAACACCATGAAACATAAAACCTATGATATGAAATTAACAGAATACACATATTTTATGTAAATGAGTAGGAAAAGATAGATTAAGCCGTGGGAAGCAAATAACAAAGCATTTATATTCCTGATAAATATTTTCTGAAATTAAGACTCTACTTTAAGCTATACAACTTACTTGGAGAAGGGACTGTTAGGAATTAAATTGTGTTATTTCAAAATTCCTATGTTCTTTTTTTTTTTAATTCCTATGTTCTAACCTCAGTATTTCCCAGTGTGAGATGTCCATATTTGAGAAGAAGGTTATTTCAAATATAACTAGTTAAGATGAGGCCATACTGGAGCAGGGTGGGCCCCTAATCTATTATAACTGGTACCTTAATAGAAAGGGGAAATTTGGAAACAGACAAGCATGAAAACATGAAGATGCATCTATAAACCAAGAAAAGGCAAAGATGGCCAGCAAATTACCAGACGTTAGGAGAGAAGCATGGAGCAGATTCCCAGAGTCCACAGAAGGAACCAACGCTGCAGATCCCTTGCTCTCAGAGTTCTAGCCTCCTGAACTGAGATAAATACATTTCTGCTGTTTAAGCTGTCCGTCTATGGTACTTTGTTATGACAGCCCTAGGAAAACTAATTCATCAGGCGATGGGTATGGGTGTGGTTATCATTTGTGTTACCCTGTGCTGCCTGGTAAATGAGTTTTATGTAAAGGTGGTTAGAGGATATCTGGCAAACTTGACAATGCAGGCCTAATGGCTGCACATGCAATCTGTGCTTCGCAGCATATCTGCAAAGGGCTCTCTGTTATTATTAAACAGTGGCAGGGTTAGGGCAGCCTCCTCTACTACCAATGACTAAGGATTCAGAAGCTAAGAGGAACAAGCTGAACTCTTCCCTATTCACTTCTGTGTTTTTGCTCAGGCTCTCTGCCCCATACTTTTTGCCTGACTACTTATTCTTTAAGATTCACCCTGGGCATTAACTCCTATAGTAAGTCTTCCCCAGACACTTCAAGGCTGCATTAGTAAAAAAAAAAAAAAAAAAAAAAAAAAAAAAGGCTGCATTAGTTTTATAGCTTCACATAGAGACAGATACCTGTCTTCATATCTTCCTCATTACTCTCACCACATTGCAATATAATTCTCTGCTTATGAATCTGCCTCTCCTACCACCGTATTAGTTCCTTGCCAATAGTAGAGTTACTTGCATACTTCAACAGATACCTATTGAATGTTTCTTACAGACATTTTTTAATTACCCTATTCTCCCAGTAGCGTACATTATTCTTGTCTCTTAAGATGTCCACTAAAATATAGCAACCCCTTCAGGGTAGAGAAAAACTGTTGAAGTAAAAAAAAAAAAAACCCTAAAAAAAATTCTTAGGCTAAAATTGAAAATAAAAACAATACTTGAAAGCACATAAGTCTTAACTTGGTTTAGGGATGCCTGGGTGGCTCAGTGGTTGAGCGGCTGCCTTTGGTTCAGGGTGTGATCCCCAGATCCGGGATTGAATCCCACATCAGGCTTCCTCTGCCTATGTCTCTGCCTCTCTCTCCGTGTCTCTCATGCACAAATAAATAAAATCTTAAAAAAAAAAAAGTCTTAACTTGGTTTAGAAGTAAAGGTGTATTTTGTTGATCAAGAGGAAAGAAAACCATATTTAACACAATAAGCTGAATCAGGTCACATGAATCTAAATATATAGTACAGCTAATGGCTCCCCTGACCTACACAGACCAAAATTGTTTTTGTTGTGACTAAATGGCCTATAATAAATGTCAAAGGCTTGAAATAATTAGAATGGTTTTGCAACAGTCTAGAAAGTATTTCTTGATTTGTACAATCTCAGAAGCCTCTGAAGAAAAACTCTTTTACCCAGATGCTGGTCTCTGCTTGGTATTAGACTTTTCTAGCACCTCCCAAAATATTCCCCAGGATCTGGAAGTAGACATAGCTGGATAATATGAGATATCATTTTATGTCATCCTGTGCCTGAAGATCTTTTTTATACCATAAATCATTTTCAAACACTTTTTCTGTTGTCAAAGATAAATGCATTTGCATTTATGTAAGGTGTGGAGAGGTGTTTGCTGACTTTGCCTGCTGAGTTTGAGTAATTGTAGGCTCAGCTTTAGGACTAGCAGTTCTAATTCAGGAGTCACTTCAAATCTATATTCAGAACAAGCATTGCTTACAGCAAAAAAAAAAAAGTTGTTTAATCATTGTGTAAATGAGTGCAGTAGGGAAGAAGAGACATTATAATTTCTTCCACATAAAGTTTTTCAGGCTGGCCGGGACCTCTTCTAAGAACCATATTTGGAATACATATTAGAATACATATTTTCCATTGTAGATATGATATGGCTAATATTACTTTGGTTTCATTATTTTGGATGTGGTCATTATTTTGAATTGATTGGATAGTCCTAGAGTAATCAAAACTGTATATCTGTGAGTGATTTCAAGAGGACACCTAGACTAGTCTCCTGCTCCAAGGCATGATTAACTGTAAAATACTCAAGCTAAATCAGTATCTATTTCATTCTTCCTAGAGATTTTTAGGATCAACATTCAAAATCTTGCAGTTAAAATGCAACTGCAAATTTTCTTATATCTAGCTTTAACCACTTCTCCATCAGAAGCTGATTTCTAATTGTATAGTGCTCTATGAAGAACAACACACTCCAGGAAATAAGCCATGATTCACTTATCCTAAGGGACTTTCAAAGAAACCACAGCATATTCTCTGAGTAGTCAAAATAAGTTTTTATGAGGTCCTCATTTTAAAATTTGCATGCTTTTCTCAAGTGTGTACAGTCAAGTACCTATATCCTTACACAGAAACCACTGGCGCTTACTTTAGAGAAAACTCAATCACGTTTGGGGATCTTATTTCCCAGCCCAGACCAATTAGAAGAATCAGGTAGAAGAGGGAAAAGGGAATTGAAGATGCTATACAGCGACTACAATAAGCAGCCCAAACGTTGTATAGCAAAGAAAGGTACTATACAAAATGACTACAAACTTCAAGCACAACAGCCTTGAACCACTGAAATGTCAGGACAATCAGTCCAATTGCACCTGAGGCATCACTGAATTACTACAGGACCATATAATTATGGGAGGGTTGCCATAGTTAACATATAAAAAATGACACCCAGTTAAATTTGAATTTAAGATAACAAGGAATGACTTGTTAGTGCAAGTATGTCCCAAATACCACTTATTTTTATCTGAAATCCACGTTTTACTGGGTATTCTGTATTTTATCTGGCAACCCTAAATAAGATGTTGACCCCAAGTCATCAGTAAAGCACAAACTGTTTACTATGCAGTTTGAAAATGGTGTAACTGGGATCCCTGGGTGGCGCAGCGGTTTAGCGCCTGCCTTTGGCCCAGGGCGCGATCCTGGAGACCCAGGATCGAATCCCACGTCAGGCTCCCGGTGTATGGAGCCTGCTTCTCCCTCTGCCTGTGTCTCTGCCTCTCTCTCTCTCTCTCTGTGACTATCATGAATAAATTAAAAAAAAATTAAAAAAAAAAGAAAATGGTGTAACTAGTATGATATTGGAAAATGTTCCGTTGATAGCATTTAAGATTAAGAAAATCAAAACTCAGAATGCCTGTGTGGCTCAGCGGTTGAGAGTCTGCCTTTGGCTCAGGGCATGATCCCAGGGGCCTGGGATCAAATCCCACATCAGGCTCCCTGTGA